GGACTGGGATGGACTGGGATGGACTGGGAGGGACTGGGATGGACTGGGATGGACTGGGAGGGACTGGGAGGGACTGGGATGGACTGGGATGGGATTGGGATGGACTGGGATGGACTGGGAGGGACTGGGATGGACTGGGATGGACTGGGAGGGACTGGGATGGACTGGGATAAACTGCGATGGACTGGGATGGACTGGGAGGGACTGGGATGGACTGGGAATGGGCAACTGGGACAGCACCTGGGACTGGGATGGACTGGGATTAACTGGGATTAACTGGGACAAACTGGGATTAACTGGGACAAACTGGGATGGACTGGGACGAACTGGGAAGGGTCAGGATGGGACCAGGCCCCTCCTGAGGCGATCCTGCCCTGAGGGAACCCACCCTCAGAATGGACTGGGACTAAATGGGACGAACTGGGATGAACTGGGAAGGACTGGGAAGGGACTGGGATTAACTGGGACAAACTGTGGTGAACTGGGACCAACTGGGATGGACTGGGAAGGGTCAGGATGGGACCAGGCCCCCCCTGAGGCGATCCCGCCCTGAGGGAACCCACCCTGGGAATGGACTGGGACGAACTGGGACTAACTGGGATGGACTGGGATGAACTGGGAAAGGTTTGGGATGAACTGGGACAAACTGGAAAGGAATTGGGATGAACTAGGAGCGGATTTGGGAATGTCAGGACAGGACCAGACCCTTCCTGAGGCGAACCCGCCCTCAGAATGGACTGGGACTAACTGGGACTAACTGGGAAGGGACTGGGATTAACTGGGACGAACTGGGATGAACTGGGACGAACTGGGAAGCACCGGGAAGCTGCCCCTTCCCCGCCGCTCACCCGGTACGCCCCGCAGGTGCTGTCGGGATGAACTGGGAACTAACTGGGAACTAACTGGGATGAACTGGGATGAACTGGGAACTAACTGCGATGAACTGGGAACTAACTGGGAGGGGATTAGGACTAACTGGGACTAACTGGGACTAACTGGGACAAACTGGGAATCCGCCCCTCACCCGGTACGCCCCGCAGGTGCTCTCAGGATGAACTGGGAACTAACTGGGAACTAACTGGGATGAACTGGGATGAACTGGGAACTAACTGGGAGGGGATTAGGATGAACTGGGACTAACTGGGATGAACTGGGATGAACTGGGTATCCGCCGCTCACCCGGTAGGCCCCGCAGGTGCTCTCGGGATTAACTGGGAGGGGATTAGGATGAACTGGGACTAACTGGGATGAACTGGGACTCCGCCGCTCACCCGGTACGCCCCGCAGGTGCTCTCGGGGTGCTCGGGGGGCACCAATCGCTCATCACAAAACGCCACGAGCCACCGGGCCGGTTGGGCCCCGCCCACATCGGCCAAAGCCCCGCCCAATTCCCGCGCGAGCAGCGGCACCAGAGAACCCCCGGAGAGCCCCAGCGAGAAGCGGCCGCCGCTCGTCACCGCCTGGGCCGCCGCTGCCGCCACCGAGCGCGCCAGGAACGCGCCGAGCTCCAGCGGGGACGGGAAAACCGACACGGAAGCCATGATGGGGAAGAGAGAGGAGGAGGAGGAAGTGACGTCAGCAGAGGAGGGGGTTGCTAAGCGACCGCGCGGGGGGGAGATGTTGGGAAGGAAGTGACGTCACCTGGGAAAAAGTGTTGCTAAGCGACTGTTTTAGAGTGCGTTGGTAACAAGGAAGTGACGTTATCAGCATCCATTGTTGCCTAGCAACCACCTCGGATATATTTGTGGCTCGGGAAGTGACGTCATTGGTTCGACGCGTTGCCTAGCAACCACTGCCGAGCGAGTTGCCGGCAAGGAAATGACGTAATCTGAAAAAAAACGTTGCTAAGCGACTGTTTCAGAGTGCATTGGCAACAAGGAAGTGACGTCATCAGCGCAGCGCGTTGCCTAGCAACCACCTCGGAGATGTTTGTCGCTATGAAGTGACGTCATTGTATTAACACGTTGCCTAGCAACCACCTCGGAGATGTTTGTCGCTCAGGAAGTGACGTCATTGGCTCAAACCGTTGCCGAGCAACCAGAGTCGAGCGCGTTGCCAGCAAGGAAATGACGTCATCTGGAAAAAGTGTTGCTAAGCGACTGATTCAGAGCGCGTTGGCAACAGGGAAGTGACGTCATAATCGTGTCGCGCTGCCTAGCAACCACCTCGGATGTATTTGTGGCTCGGGAAGTGACGTCATCAGCACAGCGTGTTGCCTAGCAACCACTTCAGAGAGGATGTTGGTAAGGAAGTGACGTCACCAGGGAAAAAAAAAGCGTTGCTAAGCGATTGGTTCAGAGTGTGTTGTAACAAGGAAGTGACGTCATCAGCGCCCAGTGTTGCCTAGCAACCAACTCATGGGTAGTCGGTAAGGAAGTGACGTCATCAGCGCAGCGCGTTACTTAGCAACCACCTCGGAGATGTTTGTCGCTCTGAAGTGACGTCATTGTACTAACGCATTGCCTAGCAACCGGTGCTGAGCGCGTCGTGGTTAAGGAAGTTACGTCATCAGTGCAATGCGTTGCCTAGCAACCACCTCGGATGTATTTGTTGCTATGAAGTGACGTCATTGGCTCAATGCGTTGCCAAGCAGCCAAGCAAAGYGCGTCGTCGTTAAGGAAGTGACGTCACCAGGAAAACGCGTTGCTAAGCGACTGTTGCAGAGCGCATCGCCAACAAGGAAGTGACGTCATAATAACGACGCATTGCCTAGCAACCGGTGCTGAGCGCGTCGTGGTTAAGGAAGTTACGTCATCAGTGCAATGCGTTGCCTAGCAACCACCTCGGATGTATTTGTTGCTATGAAGTGACGTCATTGGCTCAATGCGTTGCCAAGCAGCCAAGCAAAGTGCGTCGTCGTTAAGGAAGTGACGTCACCAGGAAAACGCGTTGCTAAGCGACTGTTGCAGAGCGCATCGCCAACAAGGAAGTGACGTCATAATAACGACGCATTGCCTAGCAACCAACTCATATGTTGTCGGTAAGGAAGTGACGTCATTAGCTCGACGCGTTGCTTAGCAACCACTTCAGAGAGGTTGTCGGTAAGGAAGTGACATCACCAGGAAAATGTCACTAAGTTCAAAGCGCGTTGGCAACAAGGGAGTGACGTCATCAGCTCAACGCGTTGCCTAGCAACCACCTCGGAGATGGTTATCGGAAAGGAAGTGACATCATTGGCTCAACGCGTTGCCTAGCAACCACCTTGGAGATGTTTGTCGCTCAGGAAGTGACGTCATTGGCTCAACGCGTTGCCTAGCAACCACTTCAGAGAGGATGTCGGTAAGGAAGTGATGTCACCAGGAAAAAAAAAGCGTTGCTAAGCGGCTGTTTTAGAGTGCGTTGGCAACAAGGAAGTGACGTCATCAGCATACAGGGTTGCCTAGCAACCACCTCGAAAATATTCGTCGCTATGAAGTGACGTCATTGGCTCAACGTGTTGCCTAGCAACCACTTCAGAGAGGATGTTGGTAAGGAAGTGATGTCACCAGGAAAAAAAAAGCGTTGCTGAGCGACTGTTTTAGAGTGCGTTGGCAACAAGGAAGTGACGTCATCAGCATACCGCGTTGCCTAGCAACCAACTCATAGATTGTCGGTAAGCAAGTGACGTCATTAGCTCAACTCGTTGCCAAGCAACCAGAGCCAAGCACGTTGTTGTTAAGGAAGTGACGTCATCTGTGCAATGCGTTGCATAGCAACCACCTCGGATGTATTTGTCGCTCAGGAAGTGACGTCATTGGTTCAAGTTGTTGCCAAGCAGCCAAGCAAAGTGCGTTGTCGTTAACGAAATGACATCATCTGGAAAAAGCGTTGCTAAGCGACTGGTTCAGAGCGCGTTGGCAACAAGGGAGTGACGTCATCAGCGCAACGCGTTGCCTAGCAACCACTTCAGAGATGGTTCTTGGTCAGGAAGTGACGTCATGGACGCGGCGCGTTGCCGAGCAACCAGAACAAAATGCGTCGTCGTCAAGGAAGTGACGTCACCGGGAGGATGCGTTGCTAAGCAACCACAGCGGCGCGCGGCGATTCCCACACCAGTTCAGCCCAGTTCATCCCAGTCCCTCCCAGTCCCCCCAAATTCCCCTCCCAGTTCCATTCCAGTCCCCGCTCAGGAAATGACGTCACCAACACGCGGCTCGCCGACCAGGAAGTGACGTCATCAAACCCGCGCCGCGTTGCCTAGCAACCCGCGGCCTAGCGCGGCCTAGCGAGGCCTACGAAGCCTCGGCCTCGAGTAGCGGCGCCGCCCGGGGCGGAGCGGGGGATCCGCGGCCTCCTCCCCCCCACAAAAAACGCTCCACAACCGCCGCTTTTTAACGCCTTCGCATTTAAAAGGCACGAACTGAACCGGGTTAAAAAAATAAAATTAAATCTCCTAAAWGGGTTAATTCCAAATTTAAGTCCGTGAGAGTTAAAAAAAGAGTCTCTAMAAGGGGTTAATTAGGCACAAATTGCTCGCTAATTAG